GAACCTGATGAGCGCCCGGAGCTGTGCTGCAGCCTTCTGCACGGAATGGGAGCAAGGCTGAAGGTGAAACACTAGTTAGGGAGCTTGGTGTGACTTTCCTGTTGGAGCACAAACTCCTAACTGCACCCAAAGCACTTGCCGAAGTGGTTTAGTGGCGGGCGGGACGGGGCCCAAAAAAAACAGAGGGGTGGGGCCTTCTCTAGCTGTCAGTGGTTAGGTTGGACTTGGTGATCTTAAAGGTCCTTTCCAACCTAGCTGATTCTATGATTTGCATCATATGCTTGTCATATATTGGTTACTGATGTCTCCTATAGGGCTAGATACTGTTGAACTCCTCCAAAGAATGTGCACTTGCAGCTTGGAGAAGCAAAGAAAGCAATTTCCTTCTGATAGGTCATCTGCAAACAAATACAGGCTTTACAGTTACCTTAGGACAGCGTGTATGTGCTGCATTATGTGGACTTTGTATAAAACCATGCAGTTGTCTTATGAGCTGATGAGTTCCACAACAAAGTAAGTAAGTCTTAGTAGTTTTTAAAACCTGAAGGAGTATGTTGAGGCACAGCCAGTGGTCTTAGCGCAGTGTCTGGACATGCTGCTCAGCTCACGTTGGTGCTGATAGCTCCCGGTAGCACCGGGGTCCTGGGAGATCGCTGCCATGCCCTGTTGGTGCAGATCCTGGTATTGCCACAGTGTTCACTCCTGCCTGCAGTGCCCTGGCATAGGCTGAGGCAAGGGCCTCTCCCAGCAGCACGTGGCTTGGTGCTGGCACAGATGCAGGTGGGAACTTCTCAAGTTGAGCTGTATTTTTGCTACGAATTCACTAGTCGCTGGGAGTTTCTTCATTTTTGTGTTTAAAGTGAAAATTGTTTTTGGGGAGAACTGTCAACAGAAAAATTGTTTCCTAGGCACAGATCTTGGTCACTCATATTGGTGCCTGTCATTAACTGCACCTGGGTGGTGATGCAGTACAGCTGAGAGGGGCTGTTGTGTGCATGTCATTAGCTGTAGCCTGGCGGGGCAGCAGGAGGGCTTCCTGCAGCACAGAGGGCTCCCTTGCTGCTGCCAGCTCCTGCGCAGAGCTTTCTCTGGGTATGTTTCACTGTCCACCCTAAAGCCCAGTTGCTTTGTTGGTGGTCAGGAGTTTTCCTAAGAAAACCAGGCTGGCCTCAGCAACTTTTTCTGAGTATTTTGAGGAATTTTAACACGTTTACTGAACATGATGCTGCTTCCCTTGGCAAGGTGCTGGTGCCCTGCAAGTCTCTTGTGCCTCTGGCCCTTGGACATCACTCTTGGGAAGTCATACCAGCTGTGTAAGGAAGAAACCCTGGAACACCTTAATTGAGTGCTGGAATGAATGTCACCTGTTTATTTAATGGTCTGAAGAGGAAACACATTACTTGTTGCAGTACCAGCTCAGGTATTCCTTATCCTAAATTCAGTCTGTCAGAAAAGATACTGGGTGTTGGGTTCTTTGCGTGTGAGATGTAACAGAAGTTTGCCATTCCTTCAGAACTGAATGGTATAGAAAGACCTAATGAAATCATGTGTGTCAAATTATGTAATGTGTATTATAGGCAACATTGGAATAATTAATTTCCTTAATCCTGGTATAATCAAGTACACACTTCAGTTTTGTTTTACACAAAAAAGCTCTTATCTTCCGCTATATATGTTGCTGAAATATGGGGAAATGAATCAAATCCTTAGGAATTCTTGCTTAACAAGTTCTGCTGAAAGCACAAGTGTTAATGCCTGTCAGAGACAGAGCCTGACTTTGATCCTGCTTAAGCAGGAGTAAATTAGTTCACTAGGCTGATGCTGCTGGAGTTCTGCCAGCATGGTATAAATGAGATCAAATGTAGAATCTCTATATGAACTGCACACAAAGAGGTTAGAGTAATTCCTTGGGAGGTCTTTTTCTGTGATCACTTCCACATTCGTGAGGCCAGAACAAGCATCCCTTCACTGATGCAGCCCTTGTCATTCTCTTCTGTGCTTTTCTGGGAACTGCCACCAGGCACTGGGTGATGTTTGCATATAGGACTGTCATAATTCCAAGGAGCCCCTCCCTGGAGGGATGCAGTTAGGACTGTTTATTATGATTATTCATACCAAGCTTCATCTGTCACTTTACATGTAGTTTTCCACTGCCGTGAGGCTTCCTACTCCTAAATAACTCAGCAGGCTGTACCACATCACAACTCATTGTGTTTTCCAGGTGGCAGACATCTTAATATTCAGCAAAGCCAATACGTGGAGTTAGTATTTTTCTTGAGCAATTTAGACAGAAGGCTCTGGTTGCAGAGGGAGAGCTGCAGCAGATTCAGCTTCAGTGACAGACTGTGATTTCAGTTTGCATGAGCCAGGCTGTCACTATTGCCCCTGGGACTCAGATCCACACTCTGTTCTCCTGCTCATACTGCAATGTGGCGCGCTCTGGCAGCAGAGCTGGGATGCAGAGGGGGGAGCTCACCTGGGTAAGCTGGCCCTTCCTGGGGAAGCCCAGCAGATCCACCAAGGCAGAGTGCACAGAGTAACCAGGAAGCAAGAGCTACTGCCGTGCTCACATGTGTTAGCACAGCATGCTATGCAGTGTAGTTTTTGCAAAATATTTATTACAAAATAAAAGTAAATATGGCAACAAAACTTAAATAGCAAATGATGTGACACTGGCCATAAAGCTCTCACTATATTATTAGTCTTTTACAATAATCAATAGTCAAGTATGTCTCCAAGGAAAGCTGCACATGGACAGCTTATTACTACAGCCTTGGCTCTAGCTGTTTGAGATGCATCGGATGTGTGCTTCCTGCTCTCACCTGTACCTGGCTGTGAGTGGTTGTGCTGTGTGCTGGGCTCACTCATTCCCCTAACATGGACAGGAGCTGGCAGTTCCCACGCTCTGTGAAACCTGCACTGCTTTACCCCAACCCCTCCTCCCCCTTTTTCTTTCAAAACCCCAGCACATGATCCAATGCCCATCCCTTTTTAATAAGGTAGCAGGAAATAAGAGTATCAACACTGAAGTACCTATTGTTCCCCTTTGAGTCACAACCTCTCTTGTGAGAGGTTGCTTGGATTTCTTTCCCACCTACTAAAAACAGTTATTAAAGCTCACCAGTGAGAGATCAAGCCTGTGTAACTGCTGAAAGGGCTTTTGGGTGTGCTCCAAACAGGAATGCAGTCCTTCAAGTCTCTTAAGCCACATGTCTAATGGAAACACTCTTTAAATAAAATATAATTAAATTAAAAAAGGTGACTGCATGTGGGGAATCTTCCTAAGGCACCCAAGAATTTAAAAAGACCTTTTCCCACTCATTTTACTTATAGGACACTCTTGTTGCTCTTCTCTCCAAAGATAAAAATGTTGGCTAGTTAGGAACCTTAGCATACATGATGGCATAGTTGAATATCATTAGAAAAAAAAAAAAGAAGAAAAAGAAAACCCTTGATGAATATAAAGCACTATGTTCAGACAGCCTAGGTTTCACTAGCTATGCAAACACATCACGGACAACATGTAGAAATAGTCACGTTAATGCCAAGGTTCCCATTGTCAGCAAAAAGGTGTGCTATAGCTGTATCAAAAACTAGGCAGTCACTGTTCAGAATGGCTGCAGACACCCCGTCGTGGATGGAGCGGGGCGTTGCTTCCCATGTCAGCCGGCGGCGGTTGCCATTCAGCTCCAGTCTGTAGGCAAAGTTCTCCGCTTGCTTACGGGTGCCAATGAGCAGCACGATAGCAAAGAATTGCTGGTGACCTTCATACTTCTCTTGTTTCTCCAGCACCAGCATGAAGTGGTGACCAAAGCATGACTGCATCATCACCCAGTCAACTGCCCCTGGAAGGTTAATGTCTGTGGCAAGAAAAACAATGTCTTCTCCCTGAAGGGTGGTAATGCTTTTGTGGGCATGCATGAGGTGGGACATCACGGCTTCCAAGGATCCCTGCCATTTACAGGAGGCACCAGGGCATGGGCAGGAGTAGGGACGATACTCACAGATGTCCTCGTGTTCTGGCTTTTCTGTGTGATGGAGTGTCAGAGAGCAGCCTGTTGTGGCATACTGGAAAAAGACCAAATACAAGCCATCAGGAAAGGCACCAGCACTAGTGTTTGCGGCTCCCACCTGTCAACTGGAAATACTGGTGCTCAACCAGAACTCTTGTTCTCAATTCAAATTTTACATTAGATACTTCTATTTAGCCCTGGATTCAGAGCTGAGCTTTACTTATTTTTGTTTCCACTTAAAAATGAATTCTTCTTGTCTTTTTGTAGTTGTAGTTTTTTGGGGGTTTTTTTGGTTTGTTTTTTTTTTTCCTAATGCAAGCACTTAGATAAAATGGAGCGTAAAGCTGAGTTGTAGTTAGATTTGCTGTTGTAGTTAGATCTGATAGGTCCAGATCAGCTGAAGTGGTCCTGGTTTGGATTTTTCTTTTCTTTAAAAAGAACAAAGGATTCTAGTTTCAGCAAACAGCAACTAGAGTGAAGTATTTTTAATAGATGTACCTTATTACCATCACATAGCAAAAGCACTCCCATTAAATTCAAATGCAGATTCCCCACAGCTTTTTTTAAATACTAGAACAGTTTCAACACTGCAGTTGTGAGAAGTGGAAGAGGATGACTTTTCACTAAGCATAAAGCTAGCACACAAATAAGTACCATCTAACTTCTCTTCATGTCATTGGACATTAAAGGGTTAATTTGCTTAACCAACTGAGGTTGATTTTTCTTTTTCTGCAGTCAGTTCAGTTGTCCACACTGACCACTCTGCTTTCATGGTACTTTCATTGAGACATAAAGGTCTCTCCTATTCTCCTAGTCTGTAGGTATCTGTAGTGATACTGACACCGCAGCTACCACTATCATGCAGGTTACAACATGCATGCATGGCTGCTTACAGATGCTGTGACACTTTCTTGAGGACAGATACAACCAAGGTATAAATTATTATTTCTGGAATAATATGTGTGCAGGAAGTTTCAGCTCTAAATGTCCTGATGCAAATCACCTATGCTGGGAACAGGGTGCTAGGAATACTGGGACAGAAACTCGAGTTTGGTTGATAAGCCATAAAGAGTTAATGTGAGCCTTCACTTACAGTGTCTGCCACTGCTGCTTAATCCTGTGCTAATGGCTTTATTGCAGGGCTCTGAGGTGGAACAAGGCATCCTGAAAATGCATGGTCTGCTGTGCCTGATGCCCTGCTGCATAATGCAGCCACCCAGGTATGTGTATGCTGGAATTTCCCATGTTCATAGCCCTGTTAACAACTTCAATCATACCAGGTGTTGAAGAGCACAGCTCCATGCCTAACCTAATTAACAAAACCAGTAAGAATCTACAAGCTGCTGATTAAGTGAAACCTGATGTCTGTGGGAAAGTGACCAGTGATGACTACAGAAGGGAGAGTGTAAAAACAATAGGAGCAAATAGCGGTGGCTTTCCCTTCATTTTGAGAAGGACCTGCTTTTGTGTGCTTCCTAACCCATTGCTGCAGGTTTCATCTGGTAAGGAGCCCTACCAGCGATGGAAGACCATGAACAGCAAAAACTGATTTGCTGTTCTTCATACTGCTTGACAAAGGTCACTGATCTTTATTATACCCCTCAAAAGCCTGCTCCATCTCTCCCTGTGTAGAGGTTATATGATACCTTTGAGCTATGGCCTGTACACCTTTTCCACCCCTACTGTGTCCTTGAGACTGGCAGCCAGGGCTGTGCACAGTGCTAACAGGGCAGATTTGCCACTAATGCCTGGGCTGGCATGACTGTTTTCTGCTTTTTCATTGCCCTTCTCATCATTTCTAGAATTCCAAGCTGGAAAGTATAACATACTTGTTTTCACAGTTTAGTTTTGGTTCATGGTTTAGCACTGTATTCTCTTTCTAAGAGGAAATTATCAGCTTGGAACTTGCCACTACATACAAGACCTAGCATGCCTTGTTTTTGCCATGTGTGTCACTCTGCATGTGCTGCTCTGAGCTTCACTTTGACAGGATAGCTTTCTGAGTGTCCTAAAGCATTTGGAAAACATCAGTTAAGCTTGTAAGTGCACAGCAGAGGTAGGTCGGTATTACCAACCCTGTAAATTAAGGCAGGCAAGAACACAGGATTAAAGTAACTTGTCTGAAGCCACATCGGAAATCAGTGGTAGAGTTAGGAATAGACTGCCAAGTCCAACCCCCTCCTGGTCTAGCCAGCACACTCTCCCTCTAGTATACAAGCAGCCTGAGATACAAGTAATGCTTCTGGAAAGAAGAGGTCTACCTGCTCGTGTATGCGTGTTAGCAATGTTCAGGGACCCAGCTAGGACTGAGACCCTTTTGTGCTTTTCCCTCCTCCAGTGCTTCATAAAACATCTGTCCCTGCTTTTAAGATCCCTCCAGCGTCCCAGAGCATTTACTGCAACTTGGGCACAGATGCTCAGCCTAGTCTAGGACCTCAATCATGGTGAGGTCCAGCCCAGCCAACAGCAAGCCTCCATGCTTCCCCTAGCCTTGCACAGGTGAAGCAACCAGCTCATGCCACAGCCAGCTGCCCAGCAGAAACCACTTACAAACTCTGCTCTGCCAGCAGTGCTGGGTCTGCTGCTACTGGTCCCCTGGGAAGGGACCAGTGAATGTCCTGTCATTTCATATACAGCATGCAAGCTCTGTACATATGTGCAGACAGCATGATGTAAGCAGACACCTGTGTGTAACAGGTATCTGTTCAATTAAAACCAAAACAAACTGCATTTTTATCAACCTCCCTCCCCCTTTACTAGAGTCTACTGTGTCGAAAATAGGAAGTGTGATCTTACTTAGGTTTAGTAGATCTGCTTAAAATCTTTAAAATGACATAGGTTTTTTTAATTAAAGCTCTTAAGAGGTCATAGAGGCAGCACTGGACAATATACAGGAGTAAGTTTGGATACAGTAACATGAACATGCAATTTCTGTTTGCAAGTTGTTTGCTTACATGGGAAACCTGTCATGCTTTCTCTTGAACTAATGGTGTAGCAGCAGTGGTCTAAGGATGTAGGGTGGTTCTGGCTACTTCCTACTACCTGTCTAAAGAAAATTTAAAAAAGTGATTATTTAAGACTTGTTAGTTTATATACAGTCTTACTGTGCCTTCCACTTTCAAATACAAAGTGTTGGTCATGAGAAGCAGAAAGACTTTTCCACAAAGCAAAGTGTAAGAGTACAGTATAATGAAGTAACTGGATTCACTTTTCTTCAAAAGGGCCAGAATCACCTGGAAACTCAAAAACATGGCAGTACCTCCAGTTAGAGATGGCTGTGATTTTGGAATACTCTCTTGACGCAAGGTACCTCTCCCAGCTTCCAAGATGCAGAGCATCAGCACTCTGAGGAAAGCTGGTAAGAATGGGGGTTCAATCCCTGAAAAAGCCCCATGTACTGAGATTTTTTTTAATGTATGCAGTAAGTAGAAAAGTCATTTCCTTTAAGTAAAACTTAGGTTGAATTAATCACAACAGTGAGAATTCACTGGTATACTTATGCAGGAGGTTTGGGTTTTTTTGGGGAGGTGGTGGTATTTATTTTTTTTTTAATATTTATTCCCCATTATACACTGCTAAATGCCATCCATACAGCTGCCCAGTTGGGCTGCTCTCAGAGCGTGAACAAACACTGAATTTGCTACTGGATATTCTTTCCTTAGTGCTGGGCTAGTTTTTGCCTCTGTATGTTGGTGGCAAGTTCTAATTCCCTGAAACGCAAGCCATAACTGCCTGCTGTTTTACACGGGGCAGATGAGGAATGCTGGTCCCATGTCATGCCAAGATCACTCAAGCATGAACACCTTTGTCTGTCAAGCCCCACTGTAACAGGCTAGCAAAACATGGCAGGGCACAGATCTTGCCTTAATGCTCATGGTTACACAAGGACTGCAGTTCTGCTGGTGACAACGGAGAACACTCGCAACTCTACTTGTTTCCTCATAGACTTTGGATGAAGTGGTTAACTTGAGAAACACCCCCTGCCCCACACTGTTCAGTTAGCCAGGCCACGGTTCCAAGTTTAGCAGCTACTGATCACAGTGTACCTCACACAACTGCTGTGAAAATGGATTCCAGTGTCTGTTCAAGAAGCTTCCACTTCGTAAGATTTATTTTCTTTTGTAGTCCATATAGGACCCCAGAGTTACAGAAGGATCTATGTCCAAATTAAGTCAGCTTCATCATTAGAGGGCACGTCTATATTATTTTCCACTTGAACTTATTTAAAAGATGAAAGAAAACAATTCCTTTTGGCACTCATTAATGTGTTTGATGTGCATTTTATCTTCTGCAGATTGCTTACAGCACTAATAGGCATTTTATATTTTCAGTAACTCTACTGTGACTGCAAGATATAAATCCTCCTATAGATTTTTTTCCAGAAGCCATATATAGCCCAGAGATGCAATAACTTGTAATTCTTGAAAAATATTAAGAGGAATAACCCTCAAAGCAGCTATAGCCACAGGCAACACCAATTCTGAAATTTCTATCAGCTCTGTCCTGTCTTGATCCTACTTATTTCAAGCACCATTCACAGCTGCCTTTAGAAGTGCAGGGACCTCCTCTGGACAGACCAGCTCCTCTATTTGTTCTTTCACATTTTCTGGAGCTTTGACTTTCCCTCCGTCTCTCTCTCTGAAAGCTTCTATCAGGTTCCTTTAATGTGGTGAAACCCCCAGGTGAGTCAGACCAGGGCCAGGCCCCAGCAAGCTGCTACATGCTGCTGCAGAATGGGGCAGTTCTTGCTGAAACCCCTTGTGATGCTGCAGCACCCGATGGATGTCCACTGCTGAGGGACATGGTGGGTCATGTCCCTGCCAGCTGCCTGTGACCTACGTAACACTGACTGAGAATTACAGCCCTGACAGTGTGTCACTGTTTCTGGGCCCAGAAAGTAAGAGTGAAAAGCATTAATGTGTGCTGATTTCACTTTGCAGCTCTTGGGAACAGTGAAAGCAGCAGAGCAGGAATTGCTCACAGCAGAAAAAAATCCACATAAAAGAGAGGGCGTGTGAGGGTAGAGGAGAGACTTATTTACACCTCTGCGAAGAGCTTCTGGGTGCCCAGTGAGCGAGGGGCGGAGAACTTGTGAGCGGATGCTGGAGTGCAGGGAGGATGCATGCTCCCACATGGGTTGTACCACAGCCAGGTTTGGGATGCGGGGCTCCGCAAGTGTCATGTTTCTGGGGCCATGGTCTGAGCTAGGCAACTCACAGGCGCAGCTGTGACCACCGCAGCGTGGCACGGGGGAACCTGGCATCCTGCTGGCAGTGCTGCCTGGCTGCCCCGCACACACAGCTGGGGCCGGGGCCTGCTGCCACCCCTGCATGCACTGGCATCTCACTGGGCAGCAGTGAGGTGCAGCACACTGACAACTGCTGGGTCAAAGTCACTCTCCAGCTCTACCAGCTGTTAACTCACAGGCATTGTACCAAGAAAGCAAACCAAGTCCCAAGCTTGGAGTCCACAGCCTCCTGCCTGCTGCAGCTTCCAAGATGCTGACCAGCACAGCATAAAGCACGTGCTGCTCCTCAGGTTATTGCAGAGACCACCAAAACACTACCAGGTCAGAGCCAAATCTCTCCCAGTCCATAACCAAGAAGGGGATAAGCCAGTAGGACTCCTGCCTGCTGGTTTGGCTGCTGGACAGACTGGCATCCTGCAGGCAGCAGAGCTGTGGCTCACAACAATGAAGGGTTGTGAGGACTCTGGTCCATTTCATTTAAGACAAGTGGGAAAGGCCAGCCACCACAGATGAGACTGACCCACTGCACCTGTGTTCAGCAGAGAGGACCTGTGTCCAACCACCATGCTCCACCTGTTATTGCCACCTCCCACTTAAGGGTGAGCAGTAAAACAGCCCCATGCTATCAAAAGCTCTGCAAGTCACTGACAGCTAGCCCCCAGGTCAGATGGCGCTCTCACCATGGACCACACCATCCTGCAGGAACCAACACAGACAATTTGCTCTGCAGGTACTGTTACTCCCTGTGCATCCTCAATGATGCTCCTGTGGGGCTGGGGACAGCTGCTCAAGGGACTGGCTTTTCCAGGTAGAGGTGGAGTAAGCCTGCTCGCAGCTCTCCCTGCGCCCGCTCTGGCCACATTGGTCCCACTGCCAACCTGACCATGGCTCCTCACCTTGCCATGCACAGCTCCGTATGTTAAAACTTTGTTCTCATATTCCACATTAGCAACAGCTCCAGCAGTTCCTGTATCTGCCCCTCCATTGCTTCAGCTTATGTTTTTAAAGCGCTTTTGATACTACAGAGGTACAAGCATTGAGGGGCTCCAGGAAGACATAAAAATGACCTGCTCAGCATTGCCTGCATGTACATATCTGCCATCCTGGTCAACATCTATTAGTAAGGATGCATACCTTAGAGCAGTTTGCTTAGTTCTTTTAAAGGGAAAACTCACTAAAGAGAAGAGACTTCAATGTTTAATACTTGGAATAGTGCTGCAACAGAACAGACTTGAAAAAAAAGACTAATTCAGGTGGTGTTACTGACCTGACAGCTTACCAGCCCCTGCCCTTCCCACGGAGGGCTGCAGGGAGCTAACAAGAGACACGAACAGTTTCTGTTACCTCCATAAACCACTTTTTAATCATTGAGCATAGGTTAAAATAACTGGGGGAGGGAAAAAAAGGTCTAGCCTTTTTATCTACTGGTTGTGGCAAATACTAGGACAACATTTAGAGCAGGATTTTCAGTGAATGAGAAAGAAGCAGAAGTTTTGCTTTCAAAGGCTGGTGGCACTCCCATCATCTTGTTTCACTTTAGAAACGTGCAGACTTGTGAAATTGGGTAATGGAGGCCAGTGAGTACCTCCCTTTCTATTCTGTGTTTATGGTGGGGTAGAAATAAAGGAAAGAAGGAGATACAGACCAGCTGCAAATTAAGGCTTTGCAGAGCTTTGCTGTCTGCAGTGTCTCTGGATGAGTCCCACGTATTGTTGCAGGAGACTCTCAGGGTATCTTTGGTATAGCCATTTTTTATATCCTTGCCTTCTGCAAGCTGCCAAGCAAACCTTTATTTAATGAAGCTTAGAACGCTCCTTAATGTCTTCTCATGAGCTGCAGTATTTCTCTTTCACACTAGCAATGAAGGTGAGACATAAACCCACCAGCAAATTCTGTATCGATCTGCTTTCCCCTCCTTGGTCCCTTCAGCATGCAAATCCGAGGCCAGTGCAGACCCAAAAGTGAAACTGTACCTACCCCAACTGGTTTGCAACATTTTGGAACTGAAAAACTTAGTTATTCAGTCTGAAAGAGTATTGCTCAGCCGTTCAAAAGAAAACCACTATGTTTCAAAGCCATGTTTATACCAAAACGCCCAAACTGGTAAGCTTTTCCACTGGCAGTGGGGACTAATTGTGATAAGAGCAGACAAATTTTGCGACGAGAAGTTTCTCTCCCTTGTTTTGACCATTGTGCCACCCCCCTTTTCTTTTTTTCCGAGGAAAAAGTGTGTGTGGGGAAAGCCTGAAGATTGAGGGCAGGGAGATGGGGATTGGGGCGGGGGGGGAGGGATGTCCTGCTGGGCCTACCGGACACCCCCCTATTCCAACCCCCTTGCCACCCCTCGCTCTCTCCCAGATCCCCCACTCCTCCCCTTACCTTGCAGGGGAAGAGCACGGCCGAGGCCACCTTCTCCATGGCCAGGTTCCGGATGCTTGGGGTAAGAGAGCCCCGGCAAGTGGGGCAGAGGCTCAGCTTCTGCCGGCATTGATTGCAGACCAGGTGCCCGGCCTGACACTGCAGGATGGGCGGCAGCACATAGTCGAAGC